TTTAACCAACTATAGTTATTATCCTGTTTTTCGAGTTACCATAGCAAATTTCTTATGAAGACTTACCTATTATTGTAGATCAAGTTAAGTGTTGTTGCGCAACATATTTATACACTGTCAGTCTGTCACTGTACAAAGTTTAAACTCTTAATATTAACTTGCATCTTGCTGATGTTTCCTAGACACGTGGCCACTCTGCCATTTTTTTGCCCATCTTATGCTATATAGTAATAGATTATGCTCATCACGAGGGAATAAGTAAAGGGAAATACATACTATTGAATATATTGAGTGATTCCAATAAATATTAAATAAAGGCACAAGTGGAGAAGAGGAATAGCCAGTTTTGATATTGCTTGAAATTTGAATCGCACCATTGTTCTGCTTGCGGACAAGAAATGCGCAGAATACAAGCAAATCACGTGTTGTAGGGCATTTTGATAATAAAAAGAACGTATTAAATATATCTTTTGTTCTGTTTCTTAATTCTTTGTTTGGTGTGGGGGGGAGGGGGAGTAATTCCGCCTATCGGTCTCAAGCCCGGACAAAGAAGGATTGTAATTAGTGTAAAAGTTGTCAATTCAAGATGAATCCTCATACATAAAAAATGTACTCCCTCCGTTTCAATTTAGATGAGTTAGTTTAATTCGACACGGAGTTTACAAAAAGAAAAAAAGACTTTTGAAACTTGTGGTCTTAAAAGCTTAAGGAGTAAAAGCTTTGTTGAGCCATGACATTTGTATGGTTATAAAAACTTCTCATTAAGGGTAAAATGAGTAAAATGAAGTGTTTAAAAGTGAATTATTTTCAATTGTATAAATGTGTCATTCTTTTTGAAACAGACTAATAAAAAAAATATGTCATCTAAATTGAAAACAGACGGAGTAATTATTATTGATGTCAGGGAATCTGGAAGTGTAGGATAAGAGAAAGGAAAAAAAGTGTGCATATTTTACATTCGGTAGCCAAAAAAAAATATAAAATTAATATAATTTTTGTATCAAATATATATATATATATATAT